CATGAAGCAAGCACTATAATGTGCCTTTTCTCATATTTGGCTCACAAGTTGCATTTGAACTAAATTATATGAATATTTAAGTAACGCTTTGATCTCATCTTCCATTAACACGATCTTGCAAGATTTGATAAGATTAAGAAAAAGAGCAAAGAAACATGATAATTTATTTGGTTTTAGGAAGATATTTGTATGATTAAATTCACAATGGCTATAAAAATCCACTACATAAAGAGCATATATTTAATTAGGGTTCTTTTTCCCTTTTTTTACTTGAGCCGCCATGAGATTTGAGACATGAAATGGGTTATGAAACGACATTGCATTAAGATAATATCTTTTACATATCATTAATGCATGTTTCCCTAATTCCCACTTGAACAAATACATTAAATAATCTCTCATTTGGAGTACAATAATGGTGGAATAAATCATCACATTTTAAGGATATTAAATCTCATCATGTTTGCATTAAAAAGAAAATAATAAAAAAAATCTCATAGAGCATAAGATATTGAGAGTGATTTACTTTGTCCATTATAGATTAAATTTTAGAATCTGAACGCTCTCAAGTAATCTTTTTCTTCTATGGTAAAAATGATCTAAAACAAATTAGAATAGTGGAAAGATGAGATACGGGATAAGTTGAATCATGGGTGTCTAGTTCAAATGAACCAACCATGTCATCATCGTCTACCATACAAAATGGTTAGAGTTGCACGTTTCGACCTACGAGAGATTAAAAGTGAGATTCGTCCAAACATTCTATGTCTTGTCTTGAGGTTTCTTCATAAAACTTGTAGACATTGATATTTACAAAGCTAAGGGTATAAGTTTCATATGTTGTAATTTGACTTTAGGTATTTTAAGCTTAGATTCTACCGCTATATGAACTTCTAGGAGGCCTCGAAATCTTGAGTCATTCTCTTGCGTGTCACAAACTCAATCAAAGTCAGATAGTTGTTCACATTTTCTAGCGTCGCAGATTTACTAGACTAGCTCATTGGGATTAATTTGATTCTCAGAGCACTAGGGTCTAGTCCTCTAGTCATTGCTAATGATCTTGGGGTGCTCGGTCTACTAGAGGTGTCTTGACCTAGGTTAATCGTCAAACTGCGTCTTATTCTTAACTCAATACATTCATGCATGCTCAAATAAGGAGATAACTCAATTAAGCATTGGATTACAAATCTCATTCTCAAAGTGTACATGCATGCTTAATAGGAAGATAACTCAATCCATCACTTGGAGTACATATCTCATTCTCAAAACATACATGTTAGCTCAATAGTGAGATAATTCAATCAATCACATTGAATACAGATTTCAATCTTAGTATAGAGTAACTAATACAACAAAAGCATCTCACACAATATACAAATTAGAAATCTCATTTTAAAGACATTTCAAATATTTGTGTGTATCATATATAGCATACTTAAAATCTTAGCTCAATTTTATACCCTAGACATGCATTTTTTTTCTATGTATGGTAGATCATATTTGCATGCTATCACATTCTAGCGATTCATATAAGTATTGCTCAAGAAAATTCAAATAGCTACTTACTTAGTCGTGCATGCCTTACTCACTCTTGTTTCCCGCTTGCTCAGTGCTCCACAATTTCAGAATTTCACTAGCGGACCCTAATTCAAGTTATAATAAGTTTATTATTCAAAATGAATTGAAAACAGTCAAATAAAGGTCGAATCAAATGGGCAAAACTAAACAGTCAAATAAAGGTCGAATCAAATGGGCAAAACTAACCCTTCAGAGGCATCACATGCGATTGGAAAAACTCTTACATGAAGGTTTCATGCAGGAGCGGGTCCAAATGCACAGTCCTTGATATTCTTTTTTTTGAATCCTAGCATACGTATCCCAAACGAATTTATAGATATCTTATAAAAACAAGACGCATGTCCCACTCATTGTGTGCTCATCTACACTTCGAGACTAGTCGGAGGCAACACACTAGGTTTTTCCCTCATTTTTCTATCTGCGACATGTGGCCTCCCCGAAACATGCATACGTTCGCATATTAGCCTCAACCGTAAGGAAAAGGTCATCTTGGGTAACTCCTCCATATCTAAGGGAGAAGCTGTTGTTTTCTTTCAATCTTTTGGTTGTCTAAATTTAATCCTTTGTTACGATAAAAGAAAATCTCATCCTTAGTTAATATATCATATAGTTTCTTTTCACCAATACATACTAGAGCTCAAAGTTTAAATGAGAATGAGACTTCTCATATCAATTTTAAAGACTTCTAAATTAAAGTCTTTGAATCATAACTTCCCTAGTCAAGAAATATTATTGTGTTTGGAGTCTTATTATTCTACTTCCCCGTCAAATCTAAGTGTATTTGAAGTTTCTTATAAAATGATCTTTGATTTAAAACAAACATTTTACCTACTCAAACATCTTCAACTGGTTGGATATGACCCATGACCGAAATATCTCGAAACAAATAAAAAAACTAAAAAGAACAACTTGAGGGAGAGATCTTTTGAAACAAAGAAACCTTAACCACTTAGCTTTTCAATTCTGTTTGTTGTAGTAAAGAGCATACATTTCACCACGAGTATTTATGGTGCAACTAGTTTCCTAAACTTTCTCTCAAGTTAAAACCACTAGCAATACTTCTAAATAAATGACAACTATTTTGTAAACTTATTCAACTTAATAACTATTTTTACCAAGTCAAGATTAATGACTCACATTCTTCTGCTTAAGCTTGACTTTACTTGAGATTCTTGACTTCAATAACTCCTACTTGCAAAACTTAACCTTTGGTAGGGTCTTGGTGAGAATATTTGCATGTTGGTATGTAGTGTCATGATTGGTCACTCATCTATTCTTCATGAGAAGTTTTAATTCCACACCATACAATTCTGCTTCTCTCTTATGTGCAGTGGGAATTCTTCATCTTATAGAGTACTCCTTTGTCTTTCAACCTTCTTTTTATACATGCCTCTAGCCTTCTTTAATTGAAAGGACAAGTTTGATGTCTCTTTTTTTTACGCTTTGGTGGCCTTTTTCTAGGCCTACGTGGTTAGGTTGTTCTTCGCTGATTGTAGTAGCCTCTGGTTTCTTCTTGGCTATGTTCTTCGGTTTCTTTTTCTCTTGACCCATTGGTTTCTTCTTGACCCATTGGTTTCTTCTTCACTTTCTTGTTGTCAACGCCAATGAATAATTTTGGAAGATGTTGATGGTCTTTCAATAGTATCTTATACAGACAGTTTCGCAACCGTCTCACTTTCATCAACAGAGCTTCGTTTCTGTTGTATATCTTGAGGAACGAGTCGACTATCTCCACTCTAATAATATCTTGAGGAATGTTTATGTTGTCAATTGACCAAGGCTAATAATATAGCTCTTTAACTTGGGATGTAATACACCTTAGTTAATAGACATTGATCGTCATTCTTACACTGGAACAAGATAAACCCTTTGTCTTGGATCGGTACAGATCATTCGCAAAACTTCACGTTTTCAGTGAACTTCTCATCAAGCTCCTTGAACTTTGCTCGATCTCCAGTCATGTGGTTCCTCGCTCCATTGTCTAGGTACTACATGCTGGACTCCACTTGATCATCTCCATCTATGAAGGGGTTCACGTAATCTTCTCTTCATTGAGCACCAACAGGTTGAGTATATTCTCGGCCAACATCAATGTGGGTTCTTCATCATCCGTGAACATGAGGTTTGCCTCCTCATCACGCCATTGTTGTGGCACTCTACCACATAATGCCCGTATTTTCCACAAGAGTAACACTTGATCATACTCTTGTCCTTCTGAGGCTTGGCATTGTCATGAATTTGTGAGGTATTGTCACGACCTCCTCTACCACCACGTCTACGGTTATGTCCGCAACCATGTCCATGACCTATGTTTTTCTTGTTATGGCTCCACCGTCTCCTCGTACGTGAAAAAGAAGAGTCATTGCATCTTTCATTTTCGTCTGTGCGAGCCACTTCTCATGTGTGAGTAAGAGGTATTTCTCCTCCTCTTTGTCTCCGTAGCCACGAAGTCTCTCTTCATGGACCTTAAGACGGTCAACGACCTTCTCAACCGACATGCTCTTGAGGTCTCCAAACTGCTCGATGGAGGCAACAATCTGCATGAATCTTGGGGAAACTGCTTGAAGGAACTTCTTGACGACGGAGATCTCCTCCACCACGTCGCGTAATGAATAGATGCCGCTGACGATTGTCCTCAACTTCATGGAAAATCCGTCTATTGACTCACTGTCCTTCATGCGGGTAGCCTCGAACTCACTCTTCAAGGTCTCCACCTTTGCTTCCTTGACATGTTTCACACCCAAATGCATTGTTTGCAGTGCCTCCTATGCTGCCTTTGCCGAGTCCTTCTCTGCTAATGAGAAGTACGTCCTGCGAGACTGCTTGGTAGATGGTGGCAAGAGTCATCCTATTGTTACGCTCCTCAACGTCACCATGCTCGATGATATCCCACACGCCTTGTGTCTGTAAGTTAACACGCATCTTTATCGACCATGTTACGTAGTTACTCTTCGTGTATAATAGGTTTTGGAGCATTACACTCCCCTCCCTTCCACTCCTTATAGTTTTCACTTCTCCTTCGGTGACTTTGTAAGGTGACGAAATTTGTTTCGACATCTTGGTTCTGATACTAAATTTTGGATATGACCCACAATCGAAATATGTCTAAACAAATAAAAAAGCAACGAGAACAACTTAAGGGGAGAGATCTTTTGAAACAAAGAAACTTTAAACACTTAGCTTTTCAATCCTCTCTGTTGTTGTTGTCAAGAGCATACGTCTCACGAGTATTTACATTGGAGAAATCACAACTAGTTTCTTAAACTTTTTCTTGAAGTTAAAATCACTAACCACTCCTAAATAAACCACAAAATTTTCTTAAACTTTTTCAAGTTAACAACTATTTTTAATAGAAAATAAGTATGGTTGAATCAATTTGCTTCATACCAATGTAATCCAAATTTTGTTTTATCATTCAACAGTTGATTCGAATTTAACATTCATTGAAAGTGGTTTGGACATCGATATAGAAAACAACATTCTCTAACCCAATTTCTTTATTTTGTTAACATAATGAATATTGGGTTCATTACTTAAGAAGGGTTTCAATTCTTGTTTGAAATGGAGTTTGTGAGTGCATATCCACCGTCATAACCTCCTTCTTCTCCACTTCCTTTGCTATTATCATGTTCTCCTCCATGACCTCCTCCACTGCCGTAAGCTCCGCCGGCCCCAATTCCAGAACCACCAGCATGGCCTCCGTAACCACCGCCGGCGCCAATGCCAGAACCACCAGCATGGCCTCCTACTCCGTCTCCCCTTCCATACCCACCGTCGACTCCTCCACCATTTCCATATCCATGGGAATCTCCATACCCATTTCCATTTCCATTTCCATTTCCATTTCTACTTCCATAGCCGATATCATGATCTCTTCCTTGCCCATACCCACCATTGCCTCCATTTTCATAACCTCCACTTCGCCCACCAGCGTAACCAACACCATGATCTTCTCCACCTCCATATCTACTCCCACTTCCATATCCTGCTCCTCCTACGCCGGAGCTAACCCCTCCTCCGTATGCATTTCCTCCACCGTTACCATATCCCGAACCCCTTACTCCACCACTTCCATAGCCTGAACCTCCGAGAGCAGAGCTTCCGTCTCCATATCCTCCACCCGATCTTCCACCATATGCATTATCATAGGATTCGTCACGATGCCCCGAATCGTACCCTTCTCTAGGGTTAGGGCGATCGTAACCATAGTGACGTGTTCGGGGATCATAATCAAGAAGGGTTCGGGCAGCGGAAGCTAAACCCAGCCCTACAAGGAGAAGAAAGCTAAGGCACAAGACTCTAGTGATAGCCATGGAGAGAATTTGAGGATGCCTAGAATGAATCCATTGGTCATCTTATATAGGAAATGGTGGAGGGTTCATCATCTTCTCATGGGTGTGCTTACTGGTAAAGAGGGCGCCACATGGGGAAATAAAAAACAATTTGGATATGTATCTCCACAAATGTCGATGAAGCAAGCACTATAGTGTGCCTTTTCTCCTATTTGGCTCACACATTAGATTTGAAGTAAATCATATGAATATTCACATAAGGCTTTGATGTCATCTTTCATTTGAAAGATCTTGCAAGATTTAGTAAGATTTAGAGAAAGAGCAAAGATAAACTTAAAAGTAATATCTATGGTTCACTACTTACTTTAGTTTTATCATTTCTTCTTGCTTCGCATTAGTTAAGGTTGATAATTTATTTAGTTTTAGGAAGATATTTGTATGATTAAATTCACAATGGCTATAAAAATCCACTACATAAAGAACATTTATTTAATTAGGCTCTTTTTCTTTTTTGCTACTTGAGCCGCCATGAGATTTAAGACATGAAATGGGTTATGAAACGATATTCCATTACTATAATATCTTTTACATATCATTTATGCATGTTTCCCTAATTCCCACTTGAACAAACTACATTAAATAATCTCTCATTGGGAGTACTATAATGGTGGAATAAATCATCACATTTTAAGGATATTAAATCTCATTTGCATTAAAAAAAAAAATAATAAAAAAATATCATAGTATTTAAGATATTAAGAGTAAGATATTAAGAGTGATGTACTTTGTCATTATAGATAAAATTTTAGAATCTTAATGCTCCCAAATAATCATTTTCTTCCATGGTAAAAATGATCTAAAAAAAAACTACAATAGTGGAAAGATTTGATACAGGATAAATTGAATCATGGGTGTCTAGTTCAACTGAACCAACCATGACATCATCTTCTACCATAGAAAAGGGTTAGAGTTGCACGTTTCGACCTACGAGAAACTAAAAGTGAGAGTCGTCCAAACATTCTACGTCTTATCTTGAGATTTCTTCGTCAAACTTGTAGACATGATATTTACAAAGCTAAGGTATGAGTTTCATGTATTGTAATTAGGCTTAAGGTATTTTAGGCTTAGGTTCTACACCTATATAAATTTTTAGGAGGCCTTGAAATCTTGAGTCATTCTCTTGCTTGTCACAAACTCAATCGAAGTTAGATAGTTGTTCACATTTTCTAGCGTTGCAGATTTACTAGATTAGCTGATTGGGGTTAATCTGGTTCTCAGAGCACTAGGGTCTAGACCTCTGATCATTGCTAATGATCTTGGGGTGCTCGGTCTACTAGAGGTATCTTGACCTAGGTTAATCGTCAAACTGTCATAACTATAGCATCTTATTCTTAACTCAATACATTCATGCATGCTCAAATAAGGAGATAACTCAATTAAGCATATAACTCAATTAAGCATTAGAGTACAAATCACATTCTCAAAGTGTACATACATGCTTAACAGGAAGATAACTAAATCCATCACTTGGAGTACATATCTCATTCTCAAAACATACCTGTTAACTCAATAAGGAGATAATTCAATCAATCACCTTGAGTACAAATTTCAATCTCATTATAGAGTAACTAATCGAACGAAAACATCTCACACAATATACAAATTAAAAATCTCATTCTTAAGACATTTCAAATATTTGTGGGTATCATTTATAGCCTACTTAAAATTTTAACTCAATTCTATACCCTAAACATGCATTTTTAGTGCTATCACATTCCAGCGATTCATATAAGTACTGCTCAAGAAAATTCAAATGGCTACTTACTTAGTCGTGCATGCCTTACTCACTCTCGTTTCCTGCTTGCCCGGTGCTCCACAATTTCACAATTTCACTAGCGGACCCTAATTCAAGTTATAATAAGTTTATTATTCAAAATGATCCGAAAACAGTCAAATGAAGGTCGAATCAAATGGGCAAAATTAACCCTTCAGGGGCATCACATGCGATTGAAAAAACTCTTACACGAAGGTTTCATGCTCACCTGCTAGGAGCGGGTCCAAATGCATAGTCCTTGATATTCTTTTTTTCGAATCCTAGCATACGTATCTCAAACGAATTTATAGATATCTTATAAGAACAAGACACATGTCCCATTCACTGTGCGCTCGTCCACACTCTGAGACTAGTCGGAGGCAACACACAAGGTTTTCCCCTCGTTTTTCTATGTGCGACATGTGGCCTCCCCCAAACATGCCTACGTTCGCCTATTAGCCCCAATCATAATTAAAAGGTCATCTTGGGTAACTCCTCCATGTCCAAGGGAGAAGCTCATTGTTGCTTTCTTTCAATCTTTTGGTTGTCTAAACTTAATCCTTTGTTACGATAAAAGAAAATCTCATACTTAGTTAATATATCATATAGTTTCTTTTCACCAATACATACTAGAGCTCAAAGTCTAAATTTTGAATCAGATTTCTCATATCAATTTTAAAGACTTCTAAATTAAAGTCTTTGAATCATAATTTCCTAGTCAAGAAATATTATTGGGTTTGGAGTATTATTATTTTACTTCTCAGTCAAATCTAAGTATATTTCAAGTTTCTTATAAAATGTTCTTTGAAAATGATCTTTGATTCTAAACAAACATTTTACCTACTCAAATACCTTCAACCCGTTGAATATGGCCTACGATTGAAATGTCAAAATAAATAAAAAACTAAAAAAGAAAAACTTGAGGGGAGAGATATTTTGAAACAATGAAACGTGAATCACTTAGTTTTTTAATTCTTTGTGTGGTTGTAAATAGCATACATCTCATCAATATTTACAGTTAAGAAAGAACAACTAGTTTCCTAAACTCTCCCCTAAGTTAAAACCACTCTCAATTGACTAACTATTTTCTAAACTTATTCAACTTAATAACTATTTTTACAAAGTCAAGATTAATCACTCACATTCTCCCCCGTAAGCTTGACTTTACTTGAGATTTTTTACTTTGAATAACTCCGGCATGTTTGCAAACTTAATCTTTGCTAGGGTCTTGGTGAGAATATTTGCATGTTGTTCTATAGTTTCAACGTTGCTTGGTCCCTGATCAACTCCTTATTCTTCATAAGAAATTTTAATTCTACAACATACAATTTCTTCCGTTCTCTCTTATGTGTAGGGACTTCTTCGTTTTGTAGGATACTCCTTTGTCTTTCAACCTTATTTTTATACATGTCTCTAGCCTTCTTTGGTTGAGAGGACAAGTTTGATGTCCCATTTTTCTTACGCCTTGGTGGCCTTTCTCTAGGCCTACATGGCTAGGTTGTTCTTTACTGATTGTAGTAGCCTCTGGTTTCTTCTTGGCTATGTTTTTCGATTCCTTTTTCTCCTGACCCATTGGTTTCTTCTTCACTTTCTTTTTGTCAACGCCAATGGATACTTTTGGAAGATGTTGATGGTCTTTCAATAGTATCTTATACAGGCAGTTTTGCAACCGTTGTACCTTCATCAACACCGTTTTTGTTGTATATCTCGAGGAACGAGTCGACTATCTTCACTCTAATAATATTTTTGAGGAACGTTTCTGTTGTCAATGACCAAGGCTAATAATATTGCTCTTCAACTCGGGATGTAATACACCTTAGTTAATAGACATTGATGGTCGTTCTTACACTGGAACAAGATAGACCCTTTGTCTTGGACCGGTACAATTGATCCTTCGCAAAACTTCACGTTTCCACTGGAACAAGATAGACCCTTTGTCTTGGACCGGTACAATTGATCCTTCGCAAAACTTCACGTTTCCAGTGAACTTCTGATCAAGCTCCTTGAACTTTGCTCAATCTCCGGTCATGTGGTTGCTCGCTCCATTGTCTAGGTACCACATGCTGGTCTCCACTTAGTCTTCTCCATCTATGAAGGGGTTCGCATAATCCATTGTCTAGGTACCACATGCTGGTCTCCACTTAGTCTTCTCCATCTATGAAGGGGTTCGCATAACCTTCTTTATTGAGCACCAACAGGTTGAGTATATTCTCGGTCAACATCAATGTGGGCTCTTCATCATCCGTGATCATGAGGTTTGCCTCCTCATCGCGCTCATTGTTGTGGCATTCTACCGCATAATGTTCGTATTTTCCACAAGAGTAACACTTGATCATACTCTTGTCCTTCCGGGACTTGACATTGTCATGAATTTGTGAGGTATTGTCACGACCAACTCTACCACCATGTCTCCTTCCGGGACTTGACATTGTCATGAATTTGTGAGGTATTGTCACGACCAACTCTACCACCATGTCTACTGTCATGTCTGCAACCACGTCCACGACCTATGTTTTTCTTGTTATGGCTCCCACGTCCCCTCGTACGTGAAAAAGAAGAATCATTGTATCTTTCTTTCTCGTCTGTGCGAGCCACTCCTCATGTGTGAGTA